TACTTATACACCAAGTTGGTAATTCATTAACTGCTCTATTGATATATGTTCATGACATTGTGCTCACAGACACTTACAAGGATGAAATCCTTTATGTCAAACAACTTCTAGATAAACAATTTAAAATTAAAGACTTGGGACCACTTAGATTCTTCTTGGGCCTTGATGTTGCTCGCTCAAAGCATGGTTTGGTTCTGCGCTAAAGAAAATACACATTGGAACTTATCTCAAATGCTGGTTTACTTGCTTCAAAGCCCACATTGACTCCTATAGACTCTGCAATCAAGTTAAGCAAACATAATGGCACAGCCTATTCAGATCCAGCTGCTTACAGTCATTTCGTAGGACGTTTGCTGTAATTGACCACTACACGTCCTGATATATCCTTCCATGTCCAGCAACTTAGCCAATTTGTGGCCTAACCAATGGACTCCCACTATCATGCTGCCATGCGGGTCCTGAAATACATCAAGCTTCTCTTTCAAAAGGCTTTTTCCTTTTTAGTCACAACACTCTTATTCCATTTGGGTTTGCAGACGCATATTGGGCAAGATGCCCAGATTCTCGCAGATCCATATTTGGTTATTGTGTCTTCCTTGGTGATACTTTGGTTTCATGGAAATCAAAAAAACAAACCATTGTTTCTATATAATCCTCAGAATCTGAGTATAGAGCCTCAGCTGCAATTTCATGTGAACTCCAATGGCTATCTCATCTTTTCAAGGATCTTTGCATCTCTATTGATCAGCCCATCTCACTCTTTTGTGTCAATCGCTCCGCCATCTATTTAGCTCACAACCCAGCATTCCACGAACGCAGCAAGCATATAGAGATTGATTGCCATGTGATCAAGGAAAGGGTGAACTTTGGTTTGATCCATCTTCTCCCCATCAGTTCTGCCAATCAACTAGCAAACATCCTCACCAAAGCTTTTCCTCTTACCACGTTCCGTTTCCTATTGTCCAAGTTGGGGTTAAAGGACATTCACCTCTCAACTTGAGGGAGGCTATCACAATATTAGTAGTTTAGTTAGTTACTGCTAATAGCTACTGTTAGTTGGTTAGTTATTCAGTTATTGTTTTCCCGCTTTATTCTTTACTGATATAAATATTAGTACTTGTAATTGATTGAAACAAGTTTCAATAATATCAGTTTTCCTCAATTTCAATAATTGTCGTGAATATATATACAGTAACAACACTTCTATAATGAATATATAATACAATTCCTCTTCCAAATTATTGTCAGGTATCAGAAGTTTATGGTATATACAAATTACAACTGTGATTTTTCCTTGTTAGCCATGACTTGGTTAACGGCTCTAATCCTTGGTCTATGTGAAGATGCTACCCCCATCCCAACTCATTAACACTCGTGATGATCTCTTTGACAAACTTGTTCACTATGAGATGCTTGTCTAATGTAAAGACGACCTACTAATTACTGGCCCAACCTATGCCAATTATATTCATTCCATCATTTCTTGCAAGGGAAAGCAACAACTATTCATGGCAAAAGCCTGTGGGACTACTTTAGTTTGAAATTATATGAATTACCATAGTTCATCAACAAAAAGGATATATCTCTTGTAGTATAAGCATGTGGAGTATTGTTGTCTGACATTAAACGTCCTCGCTTTAAACAACTATGGATGTATCTTCTCGTAGGCAGCAACTACGTGAATCAGATCTTCCAAGCTATGACTCAAAAGAGAAGATAGGTGTGTTGGAACTATACCTTATTTCAGAGAGTATGACGACAAATCTGTTGAAAATATTTAAGTGTGAATGGTGTGTAAGTCCCATATTTGTTAGACATAAACCAAGTAAGGACCATATAAATATGAAAGACCTATAGACTTACAGGCTTAAGTTTTTTTTGTTGAGATGTGATATCAGTCCACTTATTGTGGTTTGCCATTTGACCAATTGGTGGAGATATCCCTTGCAATCCCTACAATTAATTAGATACCCTTCATGTAGATTATTATAGCAGACTAATTTATCTAGTAAATCTCCCTTTCATATAGTTTATTACGATGCCCTCTTAGACATTGTTGATGGTCTTCGTTACTATATAATTTTTATGGGATATGTTATTCTATCTACCTCTTTTTCATGCCTACCTTGCCTATCAATCTCCAACACCGTTAGATCAGAATCTCAAGAGGAGAGAGAAATAATAAAGGTTAGTTGAGATTATAATTTAACGGTGTTAGAGAATTGTAGGCAAGGTAGACATAAAAAAAGAGATTAGAATAACCTATCCCAATTTTTATTTATCAAAAAAGGGAGAGCTTAGAGTATTGTCAAAGCTTCCCGTTAATTTGTGACTAAAAAGTCAAATGTTTGAATTTTGGAAACAACTTTTTTACAAATACGCAAGGATATAATTTATATTGGGGTGTGAATGAACTAGATGACATGTCTGAAGTCTACAACCTTTTCTGTCTTCGGCCTGGTTTTACTTGACCCATTTTTAAAATAATTCAGGCTGTGTCTCAATAAAAGGCCTATTTAGAAATCAACTTAGAGGCCTATTTTAAAAGACCTAGCCTCTAAGCCTCTAAGCTTGGCCTTTATTTTTAACGAAATAATATTTTTTTATTTTTTATCTTTTCTAATCATTCTCCTATGAATTTGATTATTAATTTGGTTTTAAGAGAATAAGTTAGTTCTATATTAGCGACCTATGAACAAATTAATTTCTTGCTCTCTTTTTTTTCTTTTAATATTTTATTTATGTGGCTGTATTACTATATATGTATAAAGAATTATCTGGTTGTAATATTGTTTTTGTTGTTGAGTGGGATTATATATAATACATGTGAGACCGAATATGTTACTTTATTTCGGAATTTAATTTAGTCTTTTGCATTCTTTCCATTGTTTTGTTTTTGATTTCCAACAACATAATTAAATTATTAATATTTTGGATACCAAAAAAAAATTATTAATATTTTGGATTATGGCTCCATCAACTTAAACATACAAAAAAAATAAATAAAAATAAAGTAATTATAACTCATAATTTATAAAGTACACTATCATTTTTGAAGGTTTGTAAGTCAGACCAAGCCTTATATTTTTTTTAAAAAAAACAAATTAAGCCTATAATTTAGTTTGTATTAGATTAATAAGTTAAGTCAGACTATAAATAGTTTACACATATCAAAACTTTAAAGTAGTGCCTACTCATATACATCCCTAATTGCATATAAGAATTGTTGTCATTCCACCATTGTCGATCCGTATATTATGGGGAACAGTTTTTATAATTTTTATTTATCAGTTTCGAAAGGTAAATTATACTTCAATCCTTCTTATATGTTTAAATTATGTGTATTCTCTCTATTTTAAATAAATACACTCTCCTCCCCTATTAGAAGAATATTGTCAGATATATATATATATATTTTTGGTAGGTAGTCAAATATATTTTGATTGTTATTGTCGACTATTTGACAGGCAATAAGGATAGAATTATTACAGAATGAATCATCTTATGTGACATGATATTTTATGAGCAAATATCAATCGTTTATAAACAAATCAATAAAGATTGAAGAATGCATTAAGGATAAAGAGTGAGAAATAATTATTAATTTGTATATGAATGAATTTCCCATGAGATGATATATCAATAGATCGATACTTTTTCCTTATGTTCGAAGTCACGGAAAATTCGTGCGAGAAATTGCAGTAATTAAATTACCGTTGGCCAAACCATAGGTAAAATGGCGTGAAATTTTTGCCACAATGCGAGAAGAATTACCATAGACTTAACTGACGATAATATTACCGATGACCTAGCTGTTGCTAATTGGTATTATTGTCAAAAACTAGTGTAAAAATATAAAAACTTATGTTTTTACGTTTTTACTAAAGTGATGCGTGTTAAAACACAAGTAAAAATTCTCCCTGGTAAAAATTCCGTGCAAAAACGTAAAAACAGTAAAAACGCAAGTTTCTACGTTTTTTACTTAAATCAAAAAAGTGAACCGGGTCTTATACAAAAAAAAAATGAACCGGGTCAACTTTTAACCCATGAACCATTTTTTTTAAAAAAAAAAAAACTATTTCCATTTCTCTCAAGTCAAAATGCATGATATCTTTTTCTAGCTATTTGAGAAAAAAAAAAAAAAACCTCACATAAGATCGCTATTGCAGAGAAAAGTGAGGATAAAGCCATTAGTGAAAAGTTTGTTACTAAGCTTAGGTGGATTTTGAATCAATCTATTATGTTTTATTACAAATGAACTTCTTATAGGAGCAAGAGAAAATGACATTAAGGACATGCAACTGATGCAAAGTGATGTGTTTGATTTAAATTAATTGATATAATTTAGAAGTTTTTAAACTTTATTCTTTTGATGTTTTGAAACTTGGTTGTAGGAGTTATTAATATTTTTTTATGCTTTTGGACTTATGTTTTATATAATTATGTGATTTATATCTTTTAAATATGAAATTGTTCATTAAATTTTGAGTAATGATTTATGTGATATTTTTTTTATATGCACACATACATATATATATATATATATATATATATATATATATATATATATATATATATATATATTGTATTTTGACCTTAAATAATAAAAATTATATGTTTCGTGTTGTTTTTACGATTTACGTGTCTACTAATTAATAATTGGTCATATTAAGGACGAATTTGCTAATTGTCTCTATATACGCCAAATCACATTTTCGTTTTTTTTTTGGCACAAAATACCATACTTTGGCCAAACTCGTGTAGGCTATATAGTCCTATATAATAATTGCACACAACGTTAGTGGAAAAAATGTTGCATATTTTATTGTCTCCCTTATAATTCCATAACCTACAAGCTTGTACGTCACTGACAATGTATCAATCCACTCCTTAAATCCTCTCCCCACAACTTCAAGGAAACAAATTAAAGAGTGCTATAGCCAACCCTTGCTAGCTACATGTCCGTTCCACCAAGAAAGATATAGAGATAAAGAGAAAAGATGGCTGAAGAAACAGTTGTAACCTCTTCTCCTGCCCCATTAAACTGGTGGGATCTCCATGCAAGTTCTCTTTCTCCATGGACTAACACTAACAACGAATGGAACAACCAACCAAACCCTAATTCTTCTTGTTCTTGTGAGGAAGATATATCAAGCCTTACCATTGAGTCCTCTAGTAGACTCGTTGCGCGACCTGCACCTTCCTCCATTGAGTTGATGAGAGAACATGCTTCAGATAATCAACTTTGGAGTCATGTTCTATCGTAAGTTTGTATGTTTATTTAGTATTGATTTTGCTAAAAAGAACGACTATATATCCAATATAAAATTACTTAAACTTTGACAAATTAAATGAATATTTCGTGATGTTTATTTATAGGGAGAAATTATATTTATAATCTTTTTTTTGCTTACAACCACTTTTATTGTCATTAAATCAAAATTAAAACAACGGTTATAAAATGACATCAGGTAAGAGCTATTGATTTAATTTTTATCCTTTTTCTAAATACATTCAATTTTGATCTAATGGCAATAAAAGTAATTGTAAAAGAAAACATGTTGTAAATATATTATTATTACTATCATTAATTGTTGTTGATATTATCTTTGAATTCATATAGAATATTAAAGTTCCTATGGTATATTTTTTGAGTTGGTAAATTACATCTGCAATTTTTAAAATTAATTTTTATATATATAGAAGTGTTGCTTGTGACGAAGAGTTGAACAGAAGCAGCCAAGGAATTGGAGACAATTTTCTAGATGCACTATCATCTAAAAGCATGACAAGATCAATGTTTGAACCAGCCTTTGACTACTTGAAGAAACTTGATACCAATTGGGAATATAGTGGCTCAACATCATTCAATAGTTTTGAGAAACATTTAAATGGGTTTAGTGATGAAATTATTGAGAATAATGAAAGGCTGAACAAGTTATCTAATCTTGTAAGTACTTGGTCTGTTGCCCCTCCTGATCCAGAAGTTAATGGCCACTTTGATCCACAAACAAACAATTCATCTTTAAGTTCTTCAATGGATCATCACACACAATCCGACCCTTGTCATATCAAGCAACCTTTTGAAGATTCTACATCATGTTCTGTTGGAGAAACAAGTAGAAATTCTGAAGGGTTTCCTAATTGCTATGATGTGGACACGAAGGTCAAGCAAGAAAATTACTATGCAAGTGAAGTTCTTGGATCCGTATTTGGTAGGTCATTCAATATAGATGGATATCAAAATGGATTTAATAACCATTTTGTAGGAGACAAGGGGAATCTTTACAATGGAATGCCGAATTTTTCTTCATGCACAAGAAAATTTTCCGATGTTATATCATTTACTGGTCAGCTAGGAAGGCCAATTATTGAAATTCATGCACCAGTTACTAGCACGAAATGCTTAAATTTATCAGAGTCAAGGAAGCAATGTCTTCAAACATCATCACCGGTAAGGTTATAATATAAACCTATGATGGTTTTTCAATGCTTTAATTTTATAGTTCAAATTTTATAGAATAAGCCATTATATATAGGTTGAGCATAACTTTTATTTATATAAATAATATATACAATGAACAGACAAAAACTAATAATGGAAGAGGACAAAGGAGGGCCAGTGAAGTAAAGAAGAAAAGATCTGAAGACTCTTCAGACGCAATCTTGAAGAAGCCGAAGCAAGATGTATCCACAGATTCTTCTACAAAGGTCTATAAAACACCATCATGAATTTTTTTTATTTTATTTTTTTATACAATGGTGACACTAAGATTCGAATCTATGACGTGATGTAGAGTATCCAAATCCTTCATCACTATACTAATCATAATCCCTTCTATCATGAAATTTTTGAGTATTAAGAAAAGGGTTTTATGAGTATAAAGTTGTAGGATATAAGAAAAGTTTCCTACTCTCACAATAAAGAAGAGAGAGAAAGTGAAATCATGAAAGAGAAAAAAAAACATGTGGACCCCACCTCTTAATTGTGTGTGTAGGAAAGTTTTATTAGGTTATGTAACATGATACTAATAAAACCCTTAAGAAAATTATAAAGTAGAAAGCTCCTTTTGCCAGCTGTAATGTTAAGAAAAAATTTTTATTTTTTATTTTGCTTGAAAGGTGCAGGGACCCAAAGTTAAGCTAGGTGACAGGATCACGGCCCTTCAACAAATTGTGTCTCCATTTGGAAAGGTTATTACTTATTGAACTAATACCATTGTTTTCTTTTACTCTCCTTTTAAATAAATAATAAATAATTCATAGTGCTATACCTTTTTCACTAATGCTCAAATTATTCTGTTGAATTTCAGACAGACACTGCATCCGTGCTGTTTGAAGCAATTGGATACATTAAGTTTCTCCAAGAACAAGTACAGGTGCATCATTATAGAAAAGATTCCTTTCAGTGCATTATGCAACTACATAAATAATACATACATATATGTATACATAATATTAATATTCTTATAGCTATTGCATTCTATCATCTAATAATAGTCAATATTATCAATAATGATGATAATGATTGTCTTCCTTTTTTGTTATTGAAATTTTTAATACAAATGAAACTAAACTTCTATAAATATAATCTTATAATTAATGAAAAGTGTTAGACTGATTAGATAGCACAGTTGTACCTCTAATAAGCTTCATGCATGCACCTATGAAAATTTAAAGAAGCCATTACGAATCACTAGGTGTCCCTTGCCTTGAGTAATACACTCAAATTTTGGTTTGCTTCTGTTCTTTGGATTTCTGTACTTTCAGACTTGTTAGAGATATATAAATATCATCCATCAGTTTAAGTTTTTGAGTTGAGTTGGTTCTTTACTTGGTATCAGAGCCTGGTTGTCACAGGGTTCGTATCCTCACCGCCCCTTACTTAATTAATAATTAATTAAGTTTTGTGAAGTTTCTCAGCACAGGTAGGTGGATCTATGCATTGTCCACCCTTCAATGGGCTTTCGTGTGAGGGGTGTGTTAGAGATATATAAAATCATTAATATAGTATCACTTATCAGCTTAAACTTTTGGGTTGAATTGGTTCTTTACAAGACTGACAGGAATGAAGTTACATTTTTAATCAACATGTGTAAGAAAACTGGAGTTGTAAACACCAAAAAATTTAATTAGCAAGTAATTAATATAATATTTTAATATTTCTGCTTTTGTTACGGAAAACTTTTTTCAGCCTCACACTCACATACCAGTGAGTGTGTCCAATTATATCCCACTAATTTTTTGTTTTTCTTCTCATTATAATGGGATCCATTCAATTTTATGTGATTGTAACTGAAAAAAAAAATCTCTTGCAAAAGCAGAATATTTTTCCCTAAATATAACACTGTGCTAATATATACTGGGATAATATTGATGTTCTGGTTTTTATAATTACATTAAACTAAGTACAACTGCTAATATATACCTTTAACTTATTTTCTTACAGCCACATTCATTTATATTTTGCAGCTACTGAGTAACCCTTACTTGAAGACTAACTCACACAAGGTAAGAAAAGTCTCCAATTCATATAAAAGTTTCTTTCAGTATTTTTAGTTTTAGACTTTTAGCAGTAATTAAACTAAGGTAAGGGTTTGAGATTCAATCCAGGATACATGGGGAAGCTTTGATAGAAAAGACAAGGGAGACGCAAAGCTAGACCTTAGAAGCAGAGGTCTTTGTGTAGTTCCCATTTCATGTACTCCTCAAGTTTACAGAGAGAATAGTGGACCTGACTATTGGACACCAGCGTACAGAGGATGTTTATATAAGTGAAAAATGTCATGGCAAATATAAAACATGAATGTAGCAGCTTAATTCTCTAATGATCTGGGAAAATTAAAAAGGTTTATATATATATCATAGTAGAGTTGTTATGAGTAATGCTACATAAAAAAGTTTTAGACATATATAAAATTGCTGACACCATTTTCTGCACTATTATTTACCATTTAATTTGTGTGCATTAAAACTTTATTCATCACAATTATTTCAAATGTATGCTAAAAGTTCTGTGTGCTAGTTTTAATCTTTTTCACTTCTTTTATATAGTTAACATTCTTTTAAAGTTACAGTTCATTGATATTGAAGTACGTACCCAAAAAAAATAGCGATGAGTATTTCCTTTATAACACTACTAGAAAAAACTTGTATAGCGATGAAATTACTAAGAAAATTACGTTGCTAATCTCATCCTTGCTATTACTTTTCCTCGCAAATTCTCTTGCAATGGGAATATTTTCATTTTGGCAAAGTCATAGACTCATTTGACCGCCCAGGTTAAAAAATAATACCTTCTTACTTTTTTGTAGATGTGAATGACACTCAATCCACTTTCTTTGGATGTTAATGACACATCAAAGAAAAGAAAAATAATGCAAGTCCATTTATTAAGTCAACCCTTGCGCTTATCCATTCTTAGATATTATATTAGAGTCTATTCTCTTAAGTATGGTTAAATATATTAGTATAGTACTCCAGCTTCCAAAAAAGGACAGAGATTTGTAAAAACAGGGAGAGTCGTGTCCGACACGGCAACACACTCTGACACGGTGTCGGACACGCGGTCAACTTTTTCCGACACGTTGACCATTCTGACACGCGAATTTGACCGTGTCCGACACGGTCAAATGGCATTTTCGTAATTTTTTTTTAATTTTTTTTAAAAAAATTTATTTTTTAAAAAATTAAAATATATTAATAAAGCTTCCATATGATCATATCAATTTTATTTTTTTGTCTTTTTTCCCCTTAAGTAGATAAGAGATCATCTCAGCATCATTGTTGTCAATTCCTATCACGCTCTTGTTGTATCTCCTTGTCTCTGATCTCTCTCTCTAATATGATTTGATCTCTCTATCTGATATTATATCTCTCTATCATCCCAGTTCTTATTTTTTTATTAAAGCTTCCATCTTTATAACGTGTTGATGGGTATTATTAATTTAGTTTCATTTTTTTGTTAAATTATTAAATATTAAATGAAATATACACTATATAAATTAAAATATTATTTAATATTAAAACGTGTCCCAACGTGTCGAAATCTATAATTTTTTAGGATTGACGTGTCGGAGTGTCGTGTCGTGTCACGTGTCGCGTGTCGTATCGGTGCTACAGAGCCAGCTTCTTTAAATAACGACATGTGTCATTCTTAAATTCTTTTAAAAAAATTTATTTTAATTTTTTAAATCAAATGTACATATCATTTTATAATTTTAGATATTTTATCTTTTTTTAATCTATTATTATAACATTTTACCTGAATTAATTATGCATATCTCCTCTTGTAATTTATAATGTTTTTTCTCTTAAATATTTCTTTCAATTTATATTTTTTGTATTTTACCTAAATTTAAAAATACCAGTACAATGCACAGAATATTTATTAGTAAATTATCAGCAGACAGCAACTACTTAGTCTCTTTAAATTTAGTGAAATTAAAATTAGGAATTTCCATCTTTGTTCTGAAAAATATATATGCTTTCTTTATTTAAAATTTTGAAATAAGCCATAAACTCTCTTTTATTATTTCCAAAACAACATAGATACCTCTTTTATCTAAATTTCAAAAGAGACTTCCCTAAATAGTTTTATTGAAATTTCGGTTTGATAAGAGTTTAATGACAACATCCTTGATTCATATAAGCAGGGCGCGCGGTGCTAAACCAAAATATTTAGATGGTCAAAATGAAAAAAAAAATAAAAATTAAACTACTATTAGAGGATCAAATTATGTGTGTATATATATATATATATATATATTGAGAATGAAGTGATTTTAAAAATAAAATTGGTGGCCTCTGGCCTAGTAATATAAATCATTAAGAAGGCTCTCACCTAACACCTTTAAGGTTTTGGGTTGAGATGATTCACCTGGAACTCAACAGCGTGGTGCTGGCGCTCCTTCATTCAACTGATTCACGCTTGGTTATTGTTAAATATTAAGTGGATAGAATATACTTGCAATGCAAGTATTTAAAACTTACTAAAATTAAGCATATTCTGCCTAAAGTCAAATTGATTCTCAATTAGTTATTATTCTCCACTCAAAGAATGTAAGTATTGTTGGGTATGGCTCATACTTCACATGATGATGTTGGCCCTAATTGTCGGGGTCAGCAGAAAGGCAACTGGGGTCCCGCTCCGAGGTGAGCGGGCGGGGGTCCGGGGGGCAGCGCCCCCAGGCCCGTAGAGGCTAGGTAATGTTTAGGCCTCTGTTTCTATTGTAATTTTCTTAGCAGTTTGGGCTTGGGTCCATGAATAGCTGCTGTTAGGGTTTCTTGTAATCCTATTTATATTTGCCTTGTAAACCGAGAGACTTGTAACGAGTGGCGGTGAGGTGAATATAGTACAGACAAGCTGGACGTAGCCTATATTGGGTGAACCAGGGTAAATCATCGTGTCAATCTCTCTACTCTTATCTCTTTTTCTGTTTTCTCGATTCTGTGTGATTGTCGATTTCCAACAAGTATATATATATACGTCGTTGTCTTGAAAAAAAAAAAAGTTGGTGCCTCAAAAAAAAATTGGAGCCTTAAAAAATGAAATCATGCACACCTTTAACATCTCATAGACAGTGATGGAGGCAGGAAAGGGCTAGGACGGCCCATCAAGTATCAACCCCCTCAATTAAGTTTATCAAATATTTTCCTTAGACTACTTGAGATTTAAAAGAAAGGTAATGTAATATAAGTCTGTTCCCCTTGTCCTTATTATTATTATTATTATTATTATTATTATTATTATTATCTGTCGACCTTATTATTCTTTATGTACGAAGAAAATTACTTGGAGATTGTTCTTCAAATCTGGTTAGATATCAGTCCACTATCGTGTTATCCTGTCTTAGTATGAATTTTTAATATTGCCCACTCTCACAAAATTTTCTTGCTATGCCATTTCTTAGGGTAAAATTTTCCAAGTAATGGGAGAGAATGCAGTCTTTTAGTTTGTTGAATTTCATACGCCTATATTTTGTTAAATATTTCTTTGGAGTAGTTGCGTACGTGTTGTCCAATAAATTACAGATAGCAACAACAAACAAGTCGTTAGTAAAATTGGTATTCTTCTTTTCTATAATATTAAGTTGAACCATCATTTAAATGGGGAATATAAAACATTGGTGGAGCAGCAAGAATGCTTTTCAATGTCTCCACTCAAAAGATGAGCGATTTAGAATTCTCAAAACATGTATAGACAGTGTCAATTCTAGAAGCAGATATGGATGGCAAACATTAGTGGAAAGGAAATATTGGTCAAAGGGATAAATGAGCATAAAATGCTAAAGCCAAAGTTGGTGGTGCACTCAGACACGATTCGTGCTTCATATAATGAGAGCCTAGACACGCACCTCGTGTACGTATTAGACGTTGACCAAATGTTTATCTACATAGCTTTTCTAAAAAAATTGCAAAATTATGAATAACGTAAACAAGTTTGAATTTTGATGAAAGGTGAAAAGCATATAATAATCGAATTTCTTCACTCTTAAAGCTTTTGTGATTTCTTTAAAAACTCTGTTTCAATGGTAAATGTCATTGACCTGAGTCATTATCATTCACTGCAGACCAATTGATCACGAAATTGTTGGATACAATTTAAGTTAGGAACTGATAATGTATTTGCTTAAAGTTAGTCCTGAGAAAAAAAAAAGTGCAGTGGCGAAGCCACGTTGAGGTTAGCTAGTGCCTTAGCACTAGTTAGTTTTCAAACATTTTAGAATTTGACATAGGTAGATACTAGAATTTGGTAGCTATGTAAAGCAGATAAAAGATGCAAGGGGCTACATTTTTTGGGGGCGGGTTTTTAACCCGGGCTAACATCTTTTACTGGTTCGGTCACTAAATAAGTGCTCCAAATGCTTATATTTGCGAAATTATATCCAGACGCAAAACTAAATATATATCCAGACAAAATTACATCTTTTTGGGGGCAGGTTTTCTTGACCTTTTTTAAGGTCTGTACTAAGAAACTTGGATACCAGTTCTTGTGCTGAAAAATTGGGATACCAGTATAACTCTTTTCCTTGGAAATTGAGGATAACTTGAGAACCCTTGTGTGATAGGGGTTCATAATCCTAAAAGGTTAGGATTTTGTAATGGGAATCTAGGATACTAAATGAGAATTTGTGTAAGTGGTAGACTAGAAAACTAGGATACTAGAGACCTCCTTGTACGCAAATTTCATAGTGGAGTTGCTCGTCAAATTTTAGTATTTGATATTAGGGCTCGTGTTTTTTTTCTCTTTTGAATTTTTCACGTAAAAATTATTGTGTCAGTATTTCTCTATTTTTATCTTTATTTATTTCTTTGAGTTAATTTTTAATTAGCAAATTAATTTTATAAAACTCAATTCACCTCTCCTCTTGAATTCATCTGGGACAAACAGTTTGGTAGGCTAAAATATTACCGAAAATATTAGCTGAAGTTTACTGATTCCATATTTGATTGATTATTAAATATTATTGATATTTTTACAAAATTAACCTCACCTTCGGTATTTTCTTCAAACACGATTTACATAGGGTTTTCTACACAGAGATTTATGATCTGGCTTTTCTTCACCCACCTTTCGTTCAAACATGATTTTCGTTTGTTCCTTGTGTTTTCTTCAACCTCTATTGTAAGACTAGTTATAATTATGGTTTAAGTCAAACTTAGGTATAAAACCCTCACAACATAACAGACGCGTGGCTGCTTCGTCTTCTATGCTCTATAGACACTACTATGGTTTAAATCCAACTTCCAAGACAAAGAAGAATCGATATGCCATA